TGCAATAAATGATTATATCAATTATATGCAACTGTTCTGTTTGCTGGTTTATTCATTATTCTGCTCCAGCCAAATCCTGACCAATGTTCTGTATTCAGCTGAATACTATAATTGAGTATCCAGCAGGCCCATAATTAGGTGCATCGCTCTGATTCTTTGATACTAGTATGAGTTCAACCCCATAACATGAGTGAATTCTTAAATCCATCTTGAATATATGAGAGGGTCTATGGATCGGTTTACTTTAACTAATGCAAAGTAGCCAGAGAAATCAATAAGAATGGGGAAGCACTGGTTGTAAGTAAGCAGACGGAGATAGTGCTAGTTGGGAGACCATACTTACCATGTATATGCTTTAAAAAAAACAAGGAGAGCAGAAGCATGGGGGAGAGGGGTGGTTTTAATAAAGGTAAGAAATATCTCAATGAAAACAATTCCCCCTCCCAGAGATTTCCATTTTGCTTGGAAAGCTGTTCTCCATTTAAAATAAAACAACACTACAGGTCTCCCCTGATTTATGCGGTAGATGTGTTCCCAGGGAACGGCGCATAAATCGCATTTGCGTAAAGCAAATCCAGTTTTCAATGAAACAGATAGGGATGCATTCCCAGGGCAGTGAGGGAGGGAGTGAGGCTGGGGCTAGGGAAGGGGCAGGGAGAGGGGCATGGCACAACCCAGTGACTGCAAGCGGATGGCATCTGCCATTCCTGGGGCTGCAGCAGGGGCAGCACCAGGCTCTTCATGGTATTTGGTGTGGGCAACAGCCCCACTCACTCCACCCTGAGTGCCGGGAAGAGCCTGGTGCTGCCGTTGGCCCAAGCCTGCAGCGGCCACCGTCCCCAGCCTGCTCTCACCCAGCTGCAGGCAGCTGCCTGCCCCTGCTGCAGCCCTGGAAGAAGTGGACGCTGCCTGCTTGCATCTGCTGGGTTGCACCGTGCCCCAAACCCCCTGGGGCTCTGCTTCCCCCAGGGCACCATGCCCTGAACCCCGCAGTGCAGCAGAGCTCAGCAGCTACAAGCAGACAGCATCTGCCACTCCCAGGGCCACAGCAGGGGTGGGCAGCCACCTGCAGACGGATGAGAGCAGCCTTGGGTTGGTGGCCACTGTAGGCTTGGACCAGTGGCTGCACCAGGCTCTTCCTGGTGCTCAGGGTGGGGTGAGTGGGGCTGCCGAGTCTGCAGTGGTCACCGGCCCCAGACTACTCTCGTCTGGCTGCAGGTGGCTGCCCGCACCTGCTGCAGCCCTGGGAGCGGTGGTCGCCACCTGCTTGCAGCCACTGGGCCGCACCGCATCGAGGGGGTTGGGTTATGGCGCACCCCAGTGGCTGCAAGCCACTTCCATGGTCCACTCCCAGAGTAGCTGCAGCAGGGGTGGGCAGCCACCTGCAGCTGGATGAGAGCGGGTAGTGCTGGCAGCCACTGCAGACTTGGGCCGGTGGTGACACCAGGCTCTTCAGAGGTGGGTAAGTGGGGCCTGGCCCCATGGCCCTTTCCCCCCCTCACTCTTCCCCTCTGCTCATGGCCCTTTCCCCTCCCCTCCCCTCCCCTCACAAATTCAGACTTACTTGCTTGGGAGAGGGCAGAGCGTGCCTATGCTGATTGCATATATGCGAATTTACCTCGCATAGAATGAATTTCAGGTACAAAAGGGTCATTTCATAAGAGCGAATTTGCATAAATTGAACCCACATAAATCAAGGGAAACCTGTAAAACCCTGACAAGGAATTTTCAACCAGCTCTGGTGCTTATCCCTGTTAGATGTTGTATGAAGAGTGGGAAATCTGTTCATATGGTAACAGGCTCTGCTAAGATACCTGCTAGCAGGAAAGTTTTCTCATTACGCTATTAAGAGGACATTTCACAAGCCTGTCATTGAATTCTAGACTTGGACTATTTATAGCATGTGCAGAAAAGGAATATTTTTGCTTGTAAAGAGGCAAATTAAGTTGTTTTTTTTATTGGGTTTAGGCTTTGGGTCATATGAAAGACAAATGAATAGATGCACATGAGGCATCCAGTTAGACTAATCCATGGCACTTTAAAGAGCCGTCATTTAAAAAACATACCTAGGCTATCTAGCTCATTCAGATATTTAGTGCACACCAATTCATAGTCCTTTTCTGCATGCAAGTAGTTCTTTAAAAGTGGCATTTGAGCACTGTGCTTAAATCTGCCGGCCTAAGAGTGTCATATGAATTCCTCCATAGCTTTAGCAACATCAGGTCTTATCTCTATTAGAAAACTTGCCTTAGTGTAAACACAATCAATTGATGCATGTGGTGTGACCCATTAAAATGGAAGCACTTAAATGGTTTAAACATGATTTAATGCTTTTATTTGGTGTTTCTTGAAACAGCCCTCATTAAAACCCATCTTTCCATTCTACGTAATAGAAAAGTGAAAAGCTTGCTAGCCATTACCCTCTGTGTTGGTAGGCAAAAATAATGTGCCGAGTGCAACCTGAGTAACAGCCCTAGTGCATGCTTTTAAGGCTACAGGTGTTTGTCAAAATGTCAAAAATGATTTCTTTAGTACAGTACTGTAATCATCACTCTGTAACCATAGGCTTCAAAAAATCCCAATGTATAACTCTGCTGTATTTATGCAATTCGTGTTTTAAAAACATTTACATTTGAACTGGACACCCACAGGGCTGTGAAGAAGCACATGACGGCATGTTGTTGGCACTACAAGGAGAGAAGCAAGGCATGACCTTCATCTGAAACTCCTCCACATGCCTTTATTCCAAGATGAAATAGCTTTCCTTACCTTCCAGTGTATAGTCATGCTCATAAAGGGCTTGTAACTGACAGCCATGAAGCCTGAACTTTACAATTTTTTCCTAATAGGAACATGGCTGTTAATACAAACTCTCCACGGTGCCCTGCCCTTTGTACTCAACCCTGATGTACTCAACGCCCCAAATAAATCATTTCAGCTTTCTTTCTCACTCAGCTTTTATTCTCTCTGACTGGCAGTGTGAGGCTAATATAACTCAGTGGGCGCGTCTACACGTGATGCTTTACTGCACAGTAGACTAATCTGCTGCACAGTAAGGCATCACCATGTAACCGTGTGCAGCAGCTACTGTGCAGTAAATTAAGCAAATACATGATTTTCTACTACCTGTAAATACAGGTAAGAGATTAACTTTGCATTAGCTACTGCACAGTACTGCTCGTGTAGATGCTGACCGGGAGCAAACTTGCTCCCCATCAGCCACACCAGCAGGGGGCTACAGGGAACTGGGGAGTACTCTGTCCCCAGTTCTGCTGTTGCTCAGCTCCTCCTCCTTCCACCTTCCTCAGGATCTGGGAACCAATCCATGCCAGGATGGGCTTGCTTTCTGCTTTGCCCCTGTCCTGGTGCTGCATGGCTCTTGGCTCCCTACAGGAGCTGGGAGCTGAGCAGTGCCAGGACTGGGTAGCTCTCTGCTTTCCTGCCTATTGGGGGTGCTTACTGGCAGCTGTCCCACTTGTGGGGCAGCTTCCAGCAAACCCCAGATTGGCCGGGGATTCCCTGCCTATCAGGGGTCTGGCTGGAGCTGTCCTGCTTGGTGAGCCCCCAGCTAGGTGGGGAAGCGCTGGGACTGGGGAGCTCTCTGCTTCCCCACCTAGCCAGGGGCTTGCTGGCAGCTGTGTGTCCTGATGTGCACAGGGCTGGGAGAGCTCTGCTGGCTGCAGGAGTAGCCGTCTCCTAGCCCCATGTACATCAGGACCTGTCCTGATGTGCTAGGGCCAGAAGCTGCAGCTGGCAGAGCTCTTCTGGTCCTATACACATCAGGATTGTGCTCCCTGCCTGCCCGCAGGCTAGCACCCTGGGAGAGGCGGGGAGCTTCCCTTGGCTGCTGCAGGGGGTCAGAGCCAGGCAGAAGCAGCCCTGTACTGGGCTGCTCCCATTGGAAGCAGATTTGCTCCCAACAGGGTGCACATGTAGATGTGCTCCTGGGGAAGGCTTACTGCGCAGTAAGCCTATAGCACATTAATAACATGTGTAGACATGCTCACTGTTCAGTGTAAGTTATAGGTCTCAGTCCATGCTAAATCCATGGAGGATTAGTGGCCTGTTACAATGCCAGCAAACAAACCTTGGCATTTCAACTTGCCCTAAAGTAATTCATGCTTTTAGATTGGAAAGTTCTTGGGTCAGTCACTGGAGAAATTGGCCAAGGTGGTGGTTGCTGGCTTCATTTCTGTGGTGAAACATCAAGACTGGAAACACCTGCTTTAGGCCATAGGAAAAAAGGAGTTCTCCCAGCTTTCCCATGTCATGAAACAATTCATTGTTATTTGTCTCTCAACAATGCCAAAGAAATGGCACTTTGACCCTGTTAAGCTAGGCATGGCATAATTCCATGAGAAAATATTGCCGTAGGTTATGTCCCATCCTACAGACTAGGAGGTCCTTCTCTTCTCTTGTGCCTGTGTACCATGCTGTTGTTTTCACATGGCTGGGGGACAAAATACCCTGCTCCATAGATACCCTTTGTTCCCACTTCTGCAAGCTGCCATAAGGGAGCAGGGGCAGTCCAGAGCATTGGCTGTCTCCACCCAGTGCTGGACCTGCACTAGCATGCTATGCAGAACACAACTGCAACATGTACAGGCCCAGCATCATTTCTGCCCTTCTCTGGAGCAGCAGAGGAGGTGTCAGGCAGTTGGTGGCCTCATAGATTGGAGGCAGCTCCCAGGACAATGTCACAAAGTGGTGGTCCTTAGTGTGGATCGCAGCCCGATGATCTGGTCCTCAGGCAGTGAGGGGGAGAGAAGGAACACGAGCAAAGCGGGCACAGCTGTTATCACCTTTATGTACAGAACGGTTTTAAAGATGAGCGTTGCATCTACATCTGACTCGCCTCAGTGCATATCTTTATTTACTTGGATAATTACTTAAAGGCTTCCCAGCAGAAGCAGTGGAGGCCATGGATGTTGGTGAGTAGCCACCCTAAAAGGTAAATATGCGAACTTTGTATAGGCAAGGATGTGGAGAAAGCTACAGAAATGGTCCCAGAAGATGCAGACAAGCTTGGTGGAGTGGAGGAGGTAGTGGGTAGGCGGTGAGATGTGGGCAGACAAAAGAGGAGACACTGAGCTGAAAAGAGCTTGAGAGACATTTGTTGTGAGCTCTGGTGCACTTTGGGATTTGCGATTTTGAAACCATAGCACCCGCCTTACCCCTTTGGTTGGTTTCATGACCGTTCTGACATTATTTCAGTATCTCTCAAATTTACAAGTCACTGGCTCAAGTTAGTCTAAGCAATTCTCCTAAGAACACCAACCGAAATCCTGGAGGGAACTGAAAGACTTCTATCTTTTGGAAAATGTCTGGGGAGTATGCAGGTGCCTTCCACTATAAGTCTGATCTCTCCTCCTTTTTCTCTGCCATCTTCTAAGCAATCTGCATGGGCTAGAAACAATTTAGCAGCCGTATGTTAAGGCATGAGTTGATCACTGGTTCCTTTAACACTGATTGGAAAGAAAATATATTAGTTATCTATCTGTCAATCAAGTTTGACTCTCTCTCCCCAGGAGAGGGCCCAGAATGGAAGAACCGGACAACTGTAATTCGAGATTAAAGTGCCCGGGGAGGACTGGTTGTCTGTCCATGCCTGTGGTATTAGCACGTTTGATACCTCGCTTTAGATAAAACCCAGATGCTCTAAGGAATGGGATTTTGGTGTGGAAAAGTGTACTCTTTTTTTTTTTTAAAAAGCAAAATATTCAGTAGTCTCCCTCCAGTTCTGTTTGTCTTTGGGACCAAGATGTTAAGTTGTTTCTTATTTTAATTTCAAGCCACACTTTCTCTTCAAAAGTATGGACAAGTGAACCTTCACAGAAAGGGTGAGAGGAGAACAGAATTCATTTAGGCTGAATGCCTGAGCCAGAGTCACAGAAAAGGTTAATGGAAAAAGGTTAAAAGTGGTAGGCAAGCCAAGATTTGTTGTTTGTTTTTTTTAAGGAAGTGACAACTGACTTTTTTGTGGGTACTTTGCATTTTTCAGGGGCCAACCTGAGACACCATTAATGTATTCACTGCCTTCCCCCACAAGAAGTCAGAAGCCTTGAAGGTCTCCAAATCACTAGTCACTTTTGCAAACATTGACCCAGCTTTCTAAATGGCTTTTCAATGCACAG